CGGCGGCGCTGCTGGCGGCGGCGGCGGGCGAAGCTTCTCCTTCAAGGTGGTGTTGCTCGGGGAAGGCTGCGTGGGGAAGACCTCGCTGGTGCTCCGCTACTGCGAGAACAAGTTCAATGACAAGCACATCACCACCCTGCAGGTAGGTCAGACCGGCCTGGTTTGGGGGAGCGGGTTGTGCCGCCGGGCATCATATGGGGGGGGGAGCAGGATGGTGCCCTGTTGCTCCCTTTGACCTCCCTGCCTTCTCAGGGGGCTCTTCTTTTTGTTGCGGGTTACAAAATGAGGGGTGCCGCTTGGATTCTTAGGGCGTAAAAGTTTCTAGGCTGGGGGGGCACGTTGCTTTTTTGTCTTGCATGAAATGAGTGCCGCGTAACCACTTGTTTTCATTACGAGCTGAAAGGGAAAACAATATATTTATGGAGAGCCAGCGTGGTGTGTAGATGGAGTGATAGACCAGGCCTCAGGAGACCTGGGTTGTGTGAATGCCTGCTTGTGGGGGTGGAAACCCTGTTTGGGATGACACAGGTAAAACCACTCCTTAAATATCTCGCATACCGTGAAAACCCAACTAGGGTTGGTATAAATCTGATACTTAATATCGTTATTTCATTGTTGGTTGATAGGATTACTAAACCTGAAGAGATGGGTGTGTTTATAATTCTGCAGAAATGTTGAATGTTATAGGACATATTTAGGAGTCATTGTTAGAACGTATAGAAATGTGAGGTAATCTTTAGTTCGTAGGCATGATAAGCTTTTTGCACCAACCTCCATCAGATAGTAACATGTGTATCTGATATTTAGCAAGTTTGTTCTTAGCTTTTCTGTATCAGGAGGAGAAACTTTGGAAACAGCGACATTTAAAAACTGGCACAAAATTTTGATGTTATTGAGAGGAAGTGCTTTGAAGTAATGAGTTGAAACTTTCAGTAAGGTGGGTTTTGAAGATGAGAATATGTTGGGAAACTGTAGCTTTGTGGTCTTTTTGCAACACCCTGAATTTCCTGAAAAAGAAAATGGGATAGAAAACAGAAATGAGCAAATGAATAGTGGTGTTTATTGTATAAATCCCTGAATCATTGGCCTGTTTGTCTTTGTGTGTTTCAAAGATTTAACATATAGAGAAGTAGAGTTCTTAAATAATCCTATTGACCTATTCTTCCACACTTTAAACATTTAAGTTTCTGTTATCAAGCCAGGTTTTTGTGATTTGAAATTGAGACTTAAATTGTACATAGTTTTTTGAAATTGCCTGTTCAATTTCAGCTCTCTACTGAAGGTTGAGGTAGCCATTGAAACGTATTCTGTTATGAAATATTGTCTACACATTTGTATGTGGGGGTATCTGAAACTCTTGTTGCAGTTCATATTCTTGGGTCATAATGCACTGTTTAGAGACATAGCCAAATGAGTTGTGAAATCAAGTCTATTTATATTACAGAGTTGGGCATTCTTAAGAGCCTTTTGAAATCAGCTCTGCATATGATCAGGCTACAGTGGATTTGTTTGTAACACTCACTCACACACACACACACACACACACACACACACACATACAGAGAGACAGACAGACAGACAGACAGGGGGCCAGTTGCTTGGAGAAGGCAACTACCCACACTTTCAGAAGCAGAGATCAAGCCTTTAATGGACAAATCACTGTGTTCTTTGAGAAAAAAGACATCTCTGTGACACTGGAATATCAATGATGATTTGATCTTTCAATAAATTTGATCTTTCAAAATAATGTATAATTTTTCCTAGGTGACATTAAGGACAACATGCAGTCTTGTAATTATTGTCATTTTGTAACAAACAATGTATGGGATCCTCCTTACTCCTTCTGTAAACATGGAAATTAAAAACTTCAGTCAGCTGTAGAATACTGTCAGTTGTACAGGTTTCTTTCCTGTGATACTTTGAGCAATTCTGGACATCTTTCTGTTGGTGTAGAAGTGCTGAAACCCTAGCAGCCCACAGCTGGTAGTTGGGTACTGCATTCTAAGAGATGTCTTTAGAAAGGAGAAGAGGAAGGCCTGTTTCAAGCATACATTGCTTTGGGTAGCTTTCCCATTCCCAGAAAAGAGATGAGTACAACAATGTGTTTCAATAATAATAATAATAATAATAATAATAATAATAATAATAATAATAATAATAATAATAANNNNAGAACTTCTGTTGCTGGAAGGGACCGTATAGATCATCAATCCCAGCCCCTGTCAAGGAGACACAGTGGGGAATTGAACTCCCAACCTCTGGCTCTGTAGCCAGATATTTAATCCACTGAGTTGTCCAGTAGTTCATATAGCTTAAGCTTAACTTTTTCTAATGATCTAATTTTTTTGACATTTTTCCTGCTTTTTCTCAGTGCATCTCAAGCAGCTTATACAATCCTCGCAGTTTGCTTTACAATTTTATTTGTACAGTTGTCTTGCGGTATAAGTTATATTGAGAGAGAGATTGTGTTATCCCTTGAACTTTGTGGCTGAGTAGGGATTTGAACTTGCATCTCTCCCTGTCTCAGCTTACGGATGCAGGCCTAACTAAGCAAGATGGCCAGGGGCTGCCTGAATTGACACTAAGCCAGTTGTAACTGTGCTGACTCCAAACACATCCCGGCCTAGGGATGTTGTAAATGACTTAAATACCCTGATCCTAGCCCAGATTTGTGCTGGCATAGTGGCTGTGAGTCTGGCAAGTCTAAGCTGAGAACTCTTTCCTTGCTCCTCCTTTCTCTACCCCTGTTTTTGGCTTTTTTGGCAGCTGATTCCTGTCAACAGAGCAGTTTATTTATTAATTATTTATTTATTTAACTTATATGTCACCCACACTACCCAAAGGGGTCTGGGCTGCTTACAACAATTCAGTTCTGCTGCCAGGTCTGAAGTCAGCTAGCACAAGCGCAGTAAGTTGTGCAGGAACAATAAGCTTTTGCCCATTCCAAGCCCACAGCAGTTGATATATTGTTGAGTTTGGATTACACTTTGTCATGGCAACCATACTGTCATATTTTATCATATGAAGAGCTACAGTTTGGCAGTCTAATATGTTTATTCTCTTTGGATCAGAATTGACTTTGTCATTGATACTGAGTGAAAGTAGCATCTGTATAACTAAAGGATTTAGTAACTGCATCTGATTAGGAACATGAACATTTCTTTCATTTTTCTCCAAGTAGATTTGACTTAAATCATAATTTCATTTAAGTCACTACTCAAACTTGATTTAATGTAGTGATTCACTTGCACCAGACCTTTGTGAATGATATTTATCAGAATTATAGCAAACAGGAACAGTCTCCTTGGTGAGACTGACTCTACTTGCAATAATTTTCTATTCATTGGCCATTCCAGTACTGTATCTGAATGTGTGTATATTCAGTGAGTGAGTGAAGTGAGCATTGACTTTGCCTACCCAAAGCAGCACAAGGGTAGTAGGTGGGATAACAGTTTGAAGAATCACTCGAGGAAACTATTATAAGCAGTCCTGGAGATTTTATTCAGACTTCTCAGACTTTCTAGTATTATATTATGCTGAGGGGAAAAAAACTTCCAGAACTAGTCAGAGCTGGAAAATAGGGTTTATCATGTCTATTTTTTTACCTCCACATTCTGTTAACACACATGTATCTCTGGTGGTATATTGTAAATTCTGATAGTATCTCGCAGGCTGACTACTTGAGGAGTTAGAGGTTGACCTAAATCTATACAGAAGCATATAGCATTCCACAAAAATAAGGCTCGTTTTAAAACTTGTAAACATATGATACCTGAAATCCTGTTTCTTCATGTAGTAAGTTGCAACTAGAGTAGGCCAATTGAATCAGTGAAGATTTGGTGATTCAGTTACTTGTAAATCCTAGTGATTCAAGGGGCCTACTCTAGTTGCAACTTATTACACTAAGCAGTAGGATTTCAGCCACTGTCTCGTAATATAGAATAGAAATTTGATTTAATTTGAATGTATAATTCTCATTACATAATTAAATCTTGAGCTGTAACACATTTTAAATTAAAACTATCATTGCATGGGGTTCTTTTAAAAAACAAAAAACACATTGTAACAATGAAAGTTAAAAACATGAGTTACCGTATTTTTCTGTGTATAAGAGCCCCCCCCCTTTTTCTAACGCCAAATTTTTCTTCCAAAGAAGATTGGGCATCCTTCAGTCTCGAGAGACTATGTAATAAGCTCTGAATAGAGGACTTGGAACAGCATCTAGTGTGCCTGAGAAGGCCAATTCAAGAGTGACAGTCCCTTCCACATTGAAGACAAATACAATTTGTCCCCTGTCCAGTTCCCTGATTTTGCTGGTTTCGGGACTGCCTCTTTGCCTCTGCCTGCGGGACAAGTGTCTCTTCAAAATGGGAGAGGCCATGAAGCACCGCCTGCCTCCAGGCTAAAAAGCAAGAAAGTGGAGGTGGAAAGCAGGGATCAAAGCACTTTGATACCTCCCCCCCTCCTTACTTCCGTGTATAAGATAACCCTCAATTTTTAATCTAAGTATTTTAGACAAAAGTATCATCTTATGCACAGAAAAATACGGTAAATTAATTTTGTAAAAGAAGTTAAAGATGTTTTAATCATTGATGTTTATCAATGCTGATTCTTCTTGTGCTTCTTAAAATATCTGTCCATGTTCTGTAAAGGGCTGCGTGACTTTTTTTTTGCCCAGCATGGAAATCCATGCATATTACAGTGTATTTATTTTGTAAATTACACATTTTAATGGATTTTCCTTATGTATGCATTTCCTCCACTGACTGTAGCATATTTTTACATATTTTTAAAGACATAGATTTTAGTTATCCACATTTTTCAAATACACATGGTTTTGTAGACATCTTTTTCTTTGCTGAAATGCATCATTTGAGAGTCTTAATAGTAGTAGATATTGCAAAGTTAAATTAAAAAAACAAGAATTAAATTTTTTATTTAAAATATGTGTTTATAAGTGCATGGCTCAGTTTGAAATATTTAAATGCAGTATTTCCTATTATTCTGTGTTTGTACATATCACTTTTATGTAATGTTTCATTAGTCTGGACTAACTTAGTTATGGTGCCATTCAAGGCTAAGTAAATTAAAGAGTGTAAAGTCATAAGATGTCCACAAGATCTGACAGTATGGTGCTGGTCTAGTCAGATGTTAGTGATTACTACATAGAATTAATTTGTGGCTTTTTGTTTGAAATAAAATCCACATGGTATCACAGTAGACCGGAAAGGTGCTGCTTTTTTCTGATAAGTACAGAGAGATAAAGATGTATCTCTATTTATCCGGATGCCTCCTGCCAACACAGTGCCGCAACTATGAGCTGTCTGTGTGTTGTCTGGAAGAAAATAGGGGAGCCTGCTAGTTCAGTGCTATATTTTGAACAGATAAAGAGCCATTGAACTACAGTCCACACATTCTTGTGTTACTGAGATTAATGCCTGGAGAGTAAGAAATTTCCTATTTTGGAAGAGGTCTCTGTTTTTCTGAACTCGGCTGGGCTAATATGTTATTTTAGTATGCACACAATATATAGATTATTGGCCTGTTCAACTCACAAAGATGTAGAACTGCTGTGCATTTTGAAGCCATGGAAGAAGTGAGACATGTTTTTCCATTTGAGAAATGGCATTTTGGAGGGAAAGTTAAATACATGCAGTGCAACTTTTTAAGTAGTGTCAAAGCTTCCTTTGCTGTTCCTTTACTATTCCTTTACCGCGCTGGCCAGAATCCTATTGATATTTGCTTAAGGTTTGCACAGCTTGCTGCACCTAATTGCAGCTAACTGAAATAATACCAGGGTGTGTTTTGCTTGCGCAGTTGGGCATGTGACAAAAACATGCCCCTGTGCTTTTTAATTTATCCATGGGGAGTTATACAACCCTTACACAAATACCAGTAGGATTCTGGCCACTGTGTAACATCATACATGAAACATCGTACTGTAGTTTCTATGGACGGAAAAGAGCAGATACGGATTAAATGGTTTTCAATGCATTCCTATGGGAAATGCAGATTCAACATAAGAACTTTTCAACTTGAGAACCACCTTCCAATACGGATTAAGTTCTTAAGTAGAGACCCCACTGTACTTTGTTATGTTTATTAAATACGAATATATCAAGTGTTCTCCTTTTCTTTAAAGTGCAATACACTTTGGGTTTTTCCATCTAGGAAAACACGAGAAAACAGTTTATAATGGTAATGGTAACCATCAACATTGTCATAAACAAATTGCATGGATTTGGACCTAAAGTTTTATCTCCATAGACAACATTAAAACATTTCAAAAAGAGAGGAAATGATACAGTAAAAAAACAAAAAACCTCTACCTGCAACACCACAAAAATGATAAAGCACAATTACTTCTTTCAGGTTTAAAGCAAAAAGCAAAGCGTGCTGCTTATATACCACCCCATAGTGCTTCAAGCACTCACTGGGTGGTTTGCAAGTTACAGTAATTATGCAGGCTACACATTGCCCCCCCCCCCAGCGAGCTGGGTACTCATTTTACCAACCTCGGAAGGATAGAAGGCTGAGTCAACCTTGAGCCGGCTACCTGGGATTGAACCCCAGGTCGTCAGGACAGTTTTGGCTGCAGTACAGCGGTTTGATTACTGCACCACAAGGCTCATAAGTTATTTTTAAAAAAGCAATGATTGCCTCTATTGTAAGCCGCAGAATAAGGGCCACCAGCCTAAAGAGCGAAAGTTATTGAAAGCTGTTTTGATGAATTAGTGTGTGCTAATTCTTGGTTTAAAAATCAGTCACTCATTCTAACTGAGATGGTAGTGAGAGATTTTTTTTCACCATCACCTTACATTCCATTATTTCCCCATGTGAGCAATGGAAGCAAGAGAGAAGGAAGGAAACATTATTCCCTGCCTATTGTTTGCCCTTTACACTTCTTCCAGAGATTCATGTGGGGAGGTCACAAGTAAAATAGACACATGATATCAAGTTGTGAACTGAAGGGGATTATAGTTCAATAATCATACTTTTTCCAGTTGCTGTTTTCATGCGTACTGAAGAGAAATTTGATTATTACATACACATGGGTCCTTTAGAACTGATGTACTGTTGCTTTCCTATCTGTAATTGTCTATACTTTAGTACTGTATCAAATTAAGGTGTGGGTTGGTTCTTTGAGCTAATTTTTAGGCTATAAAGGCAGGGAACACTAATAGATTATGATACTTATTTTTTAATTATGGGAAAACGTATGCAGTATCTTTTATTTTTAATTTGGTTCTTAAAGCACATATTTTTTTTATAGTAGTAATAAAGTAATTTACTTGGTTCAAGTACAGACAAAATAAGCTGTAATCAAGAGAAAGAAAAGGAATATGTTGAAATAATTAAATCATAGAGTAACAAAGGTATAATATTATCATGTTACTTATTCCAAAAGTTATGGATCTTTCAGTGAATAAATACCCATTTTGTTCTTTCTTGAACAAATCTTCCTAATCATTCAGAAATCTGCACAATTTGAGTCTTTTGTAATCACTTTTAGCAAAAATGTGTTTTGCTTCCCTGTAGTACAATCTTCTTTTATTTTTATCTTTGGCTATAAAACATGTTATCTTTGGCTATAAAACACTACTTTGATCAATGTAACTTAATATATTTAATGTGCGATTGTTCTTCATTTCTAGGCCTCTTTTCTAACAAAGAAGCTGAATATTGGTGGAAAAAGAGTAAACCTTGCAATATGGGTATGTACATATCCCATTACTATGTGTCTAAGAATAGAACATTATTTGCCACAGTAAAATATGAAGGACTATCAAATTAGCAGTGATTTTGTTTAGTAGTTTAAATGAGAACTAACAAATATCTTTGCTAAATGCAGGATACAGCAGGGCAAGAAAGATTTCATGCATTGGGTCCCATTTACTACAGAGATTCTAATGGAGCTATTTTAGTATATGATATAACAGATGAAGACTCTTTTCAAAAGGTAACTATACAGTTTTGAAATTAAGTGTAATGCTTATTTCATATAAGTCATTTCTTTTTTCTGAAATCTGTTCACTTTCAGGTGAACTATGGCTACTATGTAAATAATTAAGTTGTGCTGTAGACACCATTTGCATCATTTTACAATGTAATCTCATATATATTTGCTTAAAGGAAAGTCTTATTTTGCGGGGCTTATTTGTAGACAAGTAGGTATCATTTGCAAGCCTAATGTTAGAAACTAAGATACTGGTTTGTGTCAGTGTTATACACATTAATTAGATATATTCTTTTGAAATTTAGAGCCTCTGGCAATAGCAAAATAAAATAATTACAATTACTCTTGTCTCTGCAGGTAAAAAACTGGGTTAAAGAATTAAGGAAAATGTTGGGAAATGAAATTTGTCTGTGCATAGTTGGTAAGCTTTTACACATTACTAAATAGTTGAAGCCTGTTTTTTTCAGTTTAAGTGTTAATTTTAATTTAAAATGATTGCTCATAATCAGGGTGGATTAAAAAAATCAGATTTTTTAAAAAAATTGGTTTAAATTTTTAAAATAAAAAAATTGATTTGATTTAAATTGAATCCACCCTGCTCAAAACTTCTAGAAACCTTCTTTTGAAACAAGCTGCAATTTACTTAATGCTGCTGTTTAGGTTGATGAAGGGTTTTTTCAAGTAAAATTAATTATGTATCTTCTGGAGACTACTTGGGAAAACACTGAATGACTGTTTAAAATTAATTCTGAGTGCAACAAATCTGTTGTGCAGCTGCCATAGCTTCCTGTATGATTGACAAAGTGAATACATTTTGAAGAGTTTGTTGCAAAGTGATGTAATAACAGCTCTTTAGGTTGGAAGAGGGAACATAGCAGGGTCTTGGCTGCTTTCAGTGTCAGCAGGAGGAATTGCAGAAGGATCAGAATATGCTGTTTTCCATTCTCATTGCATAATAAGCTTATTAATCATATTTGATAATCCTATTGGTGCTATTGGATATTAAGTGGGTGGGTACAGTCTGAGCTTGAGTCTGTAAAAGCCTGAGCAAATATGTTAATGATAGGACACTTTGGAGGTCAGTTGTTCAGTGTCTTTATGAATCGGAGGCCACTTGACAACTTGTAAGAAAATTTTGGAGCAGCATAACCAATGCCATCTTGGGCAGGGAAATGAAGATGGAAAGGACTGTATACCTACTTGAAAGACAGTACATATTTGTTGAGCTCATAAGATTTTCTAGTATATTGTAGTCACTAAGGATGTCTGAATTCCTGACAGGTAACAAAATAGATTTGGAAAAAGAAAGACATGTTTCCATCCAAGAAGCAGAAAGGTAAGTTTAAGTTTCATAATTTTCATAATAAAACATAATAGTGTGGTGACTGTACTGTATTAGGTGGAAACATTCTAAGGTGGCAGTGCTCAGTTTGATTTAATATTTTCCCAGTTCTACTATTTTATTTTTATTAAAATGTTTTTCTTCTTGAAATACGGTGTAAGGAGCTTGGATGCAACAGAGGGTTATTAGGATCCCAGTGGCCCGTAAGTTGCTGTCACTGGTATGTGATGTAGCTGTTGGTTTGTATGTTAAGACAAATTTGACATCTTCATAGAAACGTAGCACAGAGGTCTGGAAAGGTCGCAGAGGTGCATCGTGTCCAGTTCCTTCTGGCTTTTTGGACAGGTGTGGCTGCAGTCAGGCTCTAAAATCCCTTGCCTTCAACAAACAGGCAAAGACATTATTATAGCCACTCTAATTATAGTGTACAGTACTTTGTTCTAGGTTCCCCCCCCCAGTTTGATATTTTTATTTGTCGTAAATTTATGTTTCACATTTCTGATAGATAGATAGATAGATAGATAGATAGATAGATAGATAGATAGATAGATAGATAGATAGATAGATAGATAGATAGATAGATGTTAGTCTAGAGGGGCGGGGTAAAAATCCAATAAATAAGTACAAATAAATAAATAGTCTGTATTTTACTGTGAGCTGCTTTGAGCACCATTTGATGGAGATAGTCAATATAGGCTTATTTAATAGGTAACATCCTAGTTAATTAATAGAAGCTGCAAATAGGTTCTGCTTTAACAGCAGTTACAGGCATGGGCCTTTATGATAGTCACTAAAGAGACATACATTTTATGTTTACTCTAGCATTGACTTAAAAAGTGAATGGTATGCCTGAAATAATTGCTATTTTTTCAGTCGTATGCTGAATACTTTTTTTTTTGCAGTTATGTAGAATCAGTGGGGGCAAAACACTATCACACATCAGCCAAACAGAATAAAGGAATAGAAGAACTCTTTCTTGACCTGTGTAAAAGTAGGTGTTTTTTTTGGTGGCTATGGACTGCAAGCCATTGTGTTGCTGTAATAAAAGAAGCCTTTAAAGCATAATGATAACTGATTAGTGTGCATTATTTATTACTGGTTTTGTATTTTTAGGACTTCCATTCCCAGAATTTAGCCAGCATCCCCCAGCTAGGAGAGTGAAAGCTTCAAAACCAGAAGGGGTTAGATCTGCCCTTCCTAGCTTCATGCTCTTCCTATTCAGGTTTTTCTTCAAACAGCAAGAAAAGCAAATCCCAAAGCCTGTTAGGCTATACAGAGGCTGCCTCCAATGGAACTATATTTCCTATGTATCTTTGTAAGTTGCAGAGTTCTTTGTGACTCTCCTAATGCAGTGGTGTGCTCTTCTTCCTGTTCGAAGAAGAAGCATAAAGGGAAGTCAAAATTTAAGAATGATCTATATCACTAAAAAGGCAAAATGTTATTTGCCATAACTACTGAATCATTTGGAGGTTGTACTCTTTGCAAAAAATTGGGCTTCAATTCATACAATAGATGGTTAATTTTCAAACATTTTTAGAAATTTCTCAGTCAATTTTACTAATGTGATTTTAAGTTGCTTTTGTGACTTGAGCATTTATACAACTGTGTCATCTAATGTATTTCTGTGTAATATAATGCAGTATCTTTGTATTCTAGGAATGATAGAAACTGCCCAAGTTGATGAAAGAGCACGAGGCAATGGTTCCAACCAATCAGGAGCTGCAAGACGTGGAGTACAGATAATTGATGATGAGCCAGCTGTTCAGAGTAGTGGAGGGTGTTGCTCCTCTGGATAATTACATAAGACTGTGCATCTCGCCCCTTTAGTGAAGACTGCCGTATTCAAATTCTCATTCTTTATCAGTGCAAAATTGGAATTAACAGTATTTAAAATCATTTGTAACAATTCAGTACCATTAAGTGCTAAACTAGTGGAGTATGTGACCAGAGAATTGGTATTTTCTACAATGGTTAACAAAGCAAACCAATGGCCTTTTTACATATTTCTTTAATAATGAATAATATTGCATGTGGGAAAGACTTATGGCTTCATTTATATTTTAAATGAGATCATTATTTAATAACTTATATACATATTAGAATGAGACATTTTTTGCAGCCCTTTGTATTTTTGTGGTAGATGGAACTGTATCACTTCAAAATTGCAAATTGATTTCTTTTTAATTAGCTGATACCTGGATACAATTTTTGCAGGGATGGCATCAACTTATAACTGTCTGACTACTTTGATATATTCATCCTGTACTCCATGCTGGTAAAAAAAATATTGTAAATGACATTAAATATTTTATCTGCTTTTACAAGTGCAGGTGCAGAAATATGTACATTAGTCTTTTTGATTATCGTGAAATGAATAGCAGTTGAAAAGAGAAATTCCATGATCTACTGCTCACTTCTTGTTAGCTTGTGACAGTTCTTTTTGGCTTCTTCTAAAGTTTACACACTTTTTTGGAAACATTTCTCACAAGTACTAGTCTATAACACTTCAGATCCAAAAATCTAGTTGGAGTGCTGTGAACTGGTGCTACTTTGTTTCTGCTAATAGAGGTTTGACACAGCTAAATATTCAGCTGCTTCAGCTATTTATGTCACACAGGAATTGAATGCTATCTGATGGTCCCGTTTATCTGATAATCACTAAACAAGGCCGGCTTGTAAAACTTAAGTTGTCTTATGTCTGTTATTCTTTATGTAATGTTTTTCTTCCAGCTGAAAAACAAAATTAAGTGAAAATAACTTTGCTGTGACAATTTTCTTTTTATAGGCCATTAAAACTGGTAGGAATACAGCTATTGCTTTTGGATAAACATTGGTTAAAAACCACTTAATTGTTTTGTGGGAGGGATTTTAAAATTTCAGAGTCAACTTCTTAAAGGACAGAAATATGGTTAAGAAAGTTGGATGTGTCCTTGTGTCAAGGCTAGCTCTATAGCTAAAGGAGAATTATTACTTGAATTCTTGAGGGAAATACCACTTAAGAGGTTCTTTGGTAAATTGTGTGGAAAATGCCTGGTATACAGCTTAGCCTTTAGGTATTGATTGGTGTGATGCTAACATGTGGTGTTTGGAATTTTCAGCAGTGTAGTGATGAATACTTATGCTTGAACAACAAAATAGTTACACTGGGAGCTTGACACTACCCCTTTCATTTTATTTTCCAGAGCTTGACACAGAAACTTTTAAGAGTTAATAGTTCTAGGAAACATGACATGCATTTGTAACCCTATTTAAGTTGGTGTGTAAAAATACACTGAAGTTTACAGGAAGAAATCAGTTTGTCTCACATGGCCATAACCCACATAATTTAATATGTACACTGTACGTTGTACCTTAACCCTTACTGGAATTGTTAAGTTACATAATCTGTTAAAGTACATATGTAGCTTGGTTATTGTGACTTCTACCATGTGCTGCTGTAAGCTGCTGTCTTCATTAAATATTCGTACTTAGTACCTTCTACTTACAACTACTTTTCTGTAATGAATATTATACATCATGGGATAGTTACAAAGGATACAAAATATATTTGGAGGAATTTCCCCTTAATTCTATTTATTTGCATTAATATTCATGATTTTTAAAATTATGTTTTGGCCCTTCTGTCAAACATCTTTCTGTAAGGTGAGAAAAGAGATAAGGGGCACTCTAGTAAAACTGTCTTTAGTGGATGCAGGCAAGCAGTATCCTTTCGCAAAAGCAACATTCCATGTAACTTGATAGGCTAAGGTTTGGAGACTCTCCCTGAGACTAAAACTGATGAACACGGAGAAAACCAATCTACAAGCAAAGTATTTTAGGTGTGATTCCAGGCCACTCCTGGAAGACATATGTCCCTTGAATAGTAGAACTGTTTCTTTATACCCAGGGGAGGGGGAGACATTTTATCAGGCTTTAAAAAAAATAAGCTGGTTTGTGGTGCAGCCAATACAATGCAGTTGTTCATAGCTAGAGATAGTACAAGCTGTCTTCTCCATTTAGAAGATCAGAGTTTTATTTCAGTCTCTAAAAATAGTGACTAATTTGTGGTTGCACATCAGTGTGGTTGGGCCTCAATGCCAAGCATCCTATTTTAACAAGTACCATTGGAAGCTTCAAATTAAAACATTTCACTATATACCAGTAATGCAAGTTATTTGGGCATTTGATGGCTGGCTGGGTTGGTATGTATTTGGTGTAAACTTTTTCAAGGCTTTTAAAAAGTGGGTTCTGACAGAATTGGTCTGGTGAATGCTGCAGTTTTACAAATATTTGTCTTGCGAGTAAGACCCATTTAATACAGTGGTTTGTGTCCAACAATGTTCTTCCCGTAGTGGAATATATGTAGCTCAGCCCCCTTAGCATGCACTCCTAAATCTGCCCTGAAGACCTGGAGGGGTGGTCTTATTCTTTGGGAAACAGCAGTGTGTGAGAGAATTGCCAGTTCAAATAGATCCAATCATGTAATAAGAATTAGCATCATTGACAGTACTGCCAGGTGAAGTACTATGCTAGCCTACGAGTCAAGATACATACATACATACATACATACATACATACATACATACATACATACAATGGTAGCCTATAGCTCTTAATATTCTCCTTTGCTTATCTGTGCTTCCTATCCCATTTCCCACACCAGAACTCTTTCATAGGCTCAAGGGGCTAATGATTCAGGATTTAAAAACAATGAAGCTCTGTAAAGACTAATTCACAGATCTTCATGGAAAACCAGATGTGAAGGGATATGCCATTTACCAGAGAGGTGTGGTTGCTTAGTTGCCCTCTGGCAATGAGAGCCAAACTAGATTCTGGAGACCTCAAACCTAGATAGTGCAATCTTACTCTTTTCAGGCATACTCCTTGGTGTCTTGACCCTGATATCAGGGCTAATGGGTCTTCCCCAATCTTCGAAGTATGTTCAAACATTGAGATCAGAGTGATGTCTGGCTGTTTATTTGTTTAAATGAGAGCTGCCCCCAAAGGATCACTTTTATGTGAGTTCTTCCTGTTCGCTATTATACTTCAACTTAATATTAGCTGCCAAGGTTCAAGTAGAAAGAATAAAATTAAAGAGTTCAGAATGTGCCTTGTTTTGTGCTTACTCTAATTGGTTCTAGAAGCAGAGGTGCTAGAGTTGTAGTGTTTACAATGTTGCATATTTGGTTTTCCTGCCAACCGAGCAGTTCAAAAGCATCTAAAAATGTGGGTAGATAAATAGGTACCAACTTGGTGGGGAGATAACGGCGTTCCGTGTCTAGTCGTGCTAGCCACGTGACCATGGAAACTGTCTACAGACAAACACTGGCTCTATGGCTTGGAAACGGGGATGAGCACCGCGTCCTAGAGTCGGACACGACTGGACTAAATGTCAAGGGGAACCTTTATCTTTACCTATATTTGGTTTTAAAATTGCTTGAAATTAGTGTTACTGTACTTATTTATGTATAGATGACAGTCAGTGTGACCAGAAACATTAAGAATTAAGTGGCTGAGAATTCTGTTGATGTGTCAACATCAGAATTGTTGCAGAACTCTTCATCAAGCTGAGGATTACACAGCTGGGGGAGGGGTTACAGAAGAAACAGTAAAAATTCCCTAAATAGTTCTATATAATTTTTTATGCATGTCTTCCTCTTAGTTCTGTAATAACTAGCCTGATGCAGAGTTTTGCAGGACTGGAATGCTAGCCCATTTGTGAAATTTTAAGAGGCTTTAGAAAGGCATTGCCCACCTTGCTTTTTGGATTGTATATAAGGACCAGATGACTTTATTTTTTTGTTGGTGTTTTGTGTTACTGTAGCTATTGTGCCTTGATGTAGTTTGATGGTTGACCTTATGCTTTGTAGAAGTCCCCTAGGCCTAGATCAATCCTTAGCATGTTCAGATAGGGCTGCAAAAGATTCCTGTTTTAAATCTAAAGGGCCGTTTCCCAGTGAGCATTGGCATCAGACAGAACAAAGGTAACTGCACAAAGTCACTTTTCAGACAGGAATCTATATTAGTCTCTAGGTTCACAACAACAGCAAACAAAACAAGCATAACTATGACACCTTTATGTCTTAACAAATTTATGTCATGATGAGCTTGAAATATAACTAGAAAGTTTCTGCTCTGAACTATTTCCAAAGAAGAAGCCATGTTAGTTTGTCTCGGGACCTTGGCAAAAGGGAAAAAGAAAGTGGATTTTGATTCATGAGAACAGAAACAAATCTGTTAGTTTTCCTGGTGCCACAATTATTTTGCCCTTCCCCCTTTTTTCTTTAATTTTGCTGACTTCCTGTGAATTAGAATGCATGGTATGAGAAATTTTAAAAATGTGGAACAATAGTGGAATTTCTGTATGAAAAGGGTATAGTTACCATCAGAAATGTTGCAACATTTTATATATAAGCTATTGCTATATCAGAGAAGGCAGCATAAAGTACAAATCTTAATCATTTATATATAATAACATAGCACATATCATTAAAATATTTTCCAGTGACATTTCATAATTCCAGCACTGATAGTCTTTTTTTATTTTCTGTATAGCTTTGGTAACTCTCTGGGCCCTGTTTAAATTTAACTTTCTAGAAGTATTGGTTCAAAGAATTGCAGTGCCAGGTAGTTCCATGAATTCAAGGCAATTTCAGGCTTGTTTTGTTTAATGGCAACTCCCAGTGGTACTTCACTTCTGAAATGGAATAAAATTTCAAAAACATTTTATATTGCAAAGGGGACAGCTATTTAAAGAAAACACTATTTAAAGAAAAGTGTTCTATTCCTGAAGTCCTGTTGCATATGTTAAAGCATGAAAAGTCAATGACATTAACCATGTTACATTTTCAAAAATTAAACATTTCCAATTTCTCTTCCAAAGGTCTTGTAGACTCCTTTTCATTATTAGGAAGCAGTTGAGGACCATGGGACAAGAGTCTTTAATTACTAAAAACCATTGTTGCCTGTAAAGCCATCCTGTCAGCTGTGATTTTTAGTAATTACTTTTCCCTTCCATCTCATAGCCCACACAGGTTCCCAGTGATGTTCCTTTATAGGAGCCTCAGGACCTTCAGAGGTAAAATCAGAAATGATTAATTTTCACAAATTTACTGCAGCTGACATCATTAGCCTTAGGTAGTATATGTATCCAAGAGGATTTTTACAGTAACTTCTATGGCTAGGATAAGCCACCAGCACAATGGTGATTCTGTCTGTGCCTTAGATTGAAAATAATTATATGTGTTTAAGTCAATTTTAACATATGCTGACTATTCTCAGGGTTTCCTAGGTACAGAGTACTCAGAAGGGGTTTACCATTCTTTTCTGGGAGCACTTTTGGACTGTGTAGTTTGCCAAAGAACACATGGGCTGCTTGTTTTCTTACAAGGCACAGTGGGAAATTACACTGCAGCCAGGTGATCTGACTCACTGAGCTAGTGAAAATTTCCATGTGCCTATTTGAACAAAATATGTCATTGTCTACCACACTGGAGCTGAAGAAGAAGGACCATTGGTACATTAACAGAACAAGTAGTAGTTGTGTTCAGATCTACCGAGTTATTGTCAGTTCAAATGTTAAACTGTGTTTACTGTTCTTCGTTTTGTGTTTGTGCACAGCATTATGCAAGCTAGTACATATGCCTCCATAAACATAAGTATACAAAAGAATTGTGAGGCATCCTAAGGAGAAAGTAATTAGGGGATTCTTCTAACTATCCTTTTAAATCCTATGGAGGTGACCCAAGCGCAGCAGAAAAGTTTAGTCCTTCTTACAGAGTTAAATTAAAACATGTCATCTATATTTTTCCAAGGCATTTTGCAAAAGGAAAACTTTTGTGAAACGTGGAACTCTTGAGAGCCATGCTGTAAGTTAAGGTTGGCCTTTATAAAGATGATGTTTGTCTTATTGCCTGGATTTGTTTCATTGATTATCATCATTGTGTTATGAAATGAATCTTTTATATTGACCTGAAACTCTAAAAGTCTAGTGTGAGCGTGCATAAACTATAGAGCACATCAACATGGAGCCATGAAATTTAACGCCAAATTCTAAATGTTATATTTCTGACAGAAATGCTATTGAACTCTATCAGCCAGGCAAATGTCTCATTAAACTTTTACTAGCAGCCACTTACTGCAACAAGATATACCGTTTCCCTGAAAAAGCCCATTGTACTGTATCCATCACCTTATTACCCTGTTTCCCTGAAAATAAGACCTAGTATGATTTTTCAGGATGCTCGTAATATAAGCCCTAACCCAAAAATAAGACCCAGTTAAGTGAAACCCCACCCTCCAGCATTGTGCAGCATTGTGCAGCAATTGGAAGAAGATGACATGACTGTAAAATAAAACATCCCCTGAAAATAACCCCTAATGCGTTTTTTGGAGCAAAAATTAATATAAGACCCTGTGGTGGCGCTGTGGGCTAAACCGCAGAAGCCTGTGCTGCAGGGTCAGAAGACCAAACAGTCGTAAGATCGAATCCACACGACTGAGTGAGCGCCCGTTGCTTGTCCCAGCTCGCGCCAACCTAGCGGTTCGAAAGCATGCAAATGCGAGTAGATAAATAGGTACCATCTCGGTGGGAAGGTAAACAGCGTTCCATGTCTAAATCACACTGGCCATGTGACCACGGAAAGATTGTCTGCGGACATAACGCTGGCTCTATGGCTTGAAGAGCGGGATGAGCGCCGCCCCCTGGAGTCGGACACGACTGGACAAAAATTTTCCAGGGGAACCTTTACCTTATTTTTGGGGAAACGTGGTAAAAGGTACATTCTTCCAGGATACAACCTAACCACATATAGTCAGACAAAGTGTTCTAATGTTCCTGAATTTTTTTAAAAAGTCTGGCAGAGTCGGGCTTCTGAATACTGTATTCTGGAACCTGCTCAGGATGGAGGGGGTACATAGCAGAAATTTGGGGGAAATTTTTCACTGAAAATGCAGTGCAGCTGTACATTTCTGAAAACATGGTGTGCCCTTTCTTCATTCCAATTCAGTATAATACTTTGTTGTATTTGTTCAGTTCCAGTTGTTTCCCTAGTTCTACAATGACACTCATGGTTTGCTTCTCCCACTTCAAAAGTATGGACTGATTGCTAATGCATCCATATTATTTAGTGCAGGGGTCTCCAAACTTTTCAGTATGAGGGCCACATCATATATTTTACACACTTTTGAGGGCCAAAGGAAGGGAGGGGGACCCAAGTGATTGCCCACCCCCCCACTGTCTTTGCAAACACAGCGGGGGGGGGAGATCACTTCTGTTGGGCTTCACTCCTCTTCCTATGCTCGGGCCATATAAAAAGGCAAGGTGGGACCAGATGTGGCCTGTATGCCATAATTTAGAGACCCCTGATTTAGTGGATGAGTGGAATGTGTCAATGAGGAATGGGTTAGTGTTTGGGACATACAAATAGTAACAACATTCTGTTTTGGGGGTGGGGAAATTATTGAAAATGATATGTGAGAGGTAATGCAAGTGAAAATAGCAAGGAATTAAATGTGGAACTGAGATCGCATCTAGGAGACAAACCATGGGTAGGTGATTTTGAGGCAAAGGGAAACTTATTGACCTGCTTATCAGTGAAATAATTTTAATGACCCATTTCTATGGAAAATTGCAGCACTACAGAGGATACAGATTCCCTAAGAGTGGCTGAAATCCTGTTGCTTAGGGTAGTATTAGGTTAAGCATGCTGTCTTTATTTGTACAGTGGGGTCTCTACTTAAGAACGTCTCTACTTAAGAACAATCCAACTTAAGAACAGCTCCATTTGCTAAATTTTGCTTCTACCTGAGAACAGAAATCCAAGATAAGAATAGGAAAAAAAACCTTTCCTGCCCTTTTTTTAACCTTAAGTCATCTTAGGTTAAAAAAAATTCTCCCCCTAGTGGTAGAGTACGTATTAACCAGCTTTGCATTAGTTCCTATGGGAACTAATGCTTCAATGTACGAACGAACCTCTACATAACAAAAAAACAGCCAGAACGGATTAATTGGTTTTCAGTCCATTCCTATAGGAAATTTTGCTTCAACTTAAGAACATTTCAACTTAAGAACACCATTCCAAAACGGATTTAGTTCTTAAGTAGAGGTTCCACTGTATTAAAGCCGCCTAGAGTGGTTACAATTGACTAGATAGATATAAATGATATAAATGAAATAAATAAATAAATAAATAAAAGTATTGTACAATTTCAGATTATGGATGAAATTGTACAATATGAAATACTGTATAGGTAAAATTAAAAACAAATATTAAGATAATTAGAATATTTTTAAATTAAAAGTGGCTATTTCAATAGCTTTATCTTGGCCATTTGCTAGATTATCTTTTGTACACATGGTGTACACATAAACGCTGCATTGATATAATTTCTCCAGTCACAGAGAAGTTGTCATTTATCCAAATAACCCCCATTTAACTTGATTCTTTAATCTTCCTACTTCACCTCAAAGCCTATAAGTTGACGTTCTGGTGGGAGACACTCCTCAGCATTCATCCATGTGGCAAGGTGTGTTGTTTTTGTTCTCTGCAGGTTTAACCTAGCCTCTTCTGGCTTAATATTTACTGTACAACTTGAGATACGCACAGAAAACGTTGCCTTGATTTTAGCCATTGTTCAGGGGGCTGGTGTCCATGAAATGGATGGGTTTAGTGCTGTATTACCTTACTGTATTTTGTTATTTGCTATCACCTTCCTTCTGGAAGGCAATGCCAACAAATAATAGACTTTTCAATGGGAGTCTATTTGAATAATAGACTTTTCAATGGGAGTCTATTTGAATTAATAGAGCATATGAAGGTATTGATTCACCAAATCCCTATTGCTTCACTGGTCCTACTTGAGTGCAATTTACTACAATAAGCTGCAAGAAGCAGTGACATTTTACTTTCTTGGGCTCCATAATCACTGCAGATGGTGACAGCAGCCACGAAATTAAGACACCTGCTTCTGAGGAGGAAAGTGATGCCAAACCTAGTCAGCATCTTAAAAAGCAGGGACATCACCTTGCCGACAAAGATCCACATAGTCAAAACTATGGTTTTTCCTGTAGTGATGTATGGAAGTGAGAGATGGACCATAAAGAAAGCTGACCGCCCAGGAATTGATGCTTTTGAATTGTGGTGCTGGAGGAGCTTCTTGAGAGTCCCCTAGACTGCAAAGAGAACAAACCTATCCATTTTGGAGGAAATCAACCCTGAGTGCTCACTGGAATGACATACTGTATCCTGAAGCTGAGGCTCCAATACTTTGGCCATCTCATGAGAAGGCTCCCTGGAAAAGATCCTGTTTAGAAAGCGTGAAGGCATGAGGAGAAGGGGAGCTACCAGCATGAATTTGACCCTTCCGGGAGGCAGTGTAAGACAGGAGGGCCTGGTGTGCTCTGGTCCATGGAGTCCCGAAGAGTCGGACACGACTAAACGACAACGCTGCAAGATGGTGGCTGCTTGTGTTCCTCATCACTTAGGTAAAGGTACCCCTTGACATTTAGTCCAGTCGTGTCCCGCTTGCCCACTAAAATATGTTCACACATAGAAATATCGTGCAGACTTATATGGCCCATCTCCAGTGAGCATTTGTTCAACTTTGCTTCCCTGCATACTGCAGCCTCGTGTCCACACGACAGGTCTTGATCTAGTTTTCCCTGAAGGTCTGCGGCGGAGATTGGCTCCCCTAGCTGATCACCCCACCGCACAGTTTACGGATTCCATATATATTTTACCTCAGACCAAGGAGCTAAAAGTCTTAAACAGCTAGGAATCTGAAGTTTAGGGCTCACTGATGTGCTAATACCGTAGGTGGGAGAGGAAAAAACAAGCGGACTCCCGTTTAGCAAGCGAGGTATGAAAAGAGCGCGCGCAGAGGCGGGAACGGCCAAACGGACAAGGAACAGCCACGACACGCCAGGCAGCGAAAGCCCCTCCCTCTTCGCCGGATTTGCGTATATCGGCCCCGCCCCTTGACGCTTTCTTCGTGCGTTCCTTCGTTTCCGTCAGCCGCGCAAAGTCTGTTTCTGCGTTTTCTCCGCTCGCCTGAAGAAAGGACGCATGCGTGAAACGGCTGGGGCCTGCCGGGCGGGGGCGGGACGGGCTGGAATTGTTGTGAACCTGCTGGGAACACGTGAAGAGAGCAACGTCATCATAAACACTCGTAGCTAATATGGCGGCTCCTGCGAGCGGAAAGGTAAGGGGAAGGGGGCAAGGAAGGGAGTTGTTGACTCACGGCCGGTGGAAGATTCTCTTAAGGCGGTGTAACAAAAGCAGAAAATTGCGTTTCCCACCCATTTCGTCGGAATGCGGCATGGGGGCGAGCGGGATAGAGAATTGGGGACGCGGGTTCATAGTGGAGGTGGAAAATGTTGGGCCTTTAGTTTAGTGGCTGGATCATGTCGGTGGGGAGGGGAATTGTTTGGCTGGGGGGGGAACTATTTAGTCCTCTCAAGTAGTAACTCCTGACACGTGGGAATTTTCCCGTGTCCGTGGTGATCAGGTCAGGGCTTCTCGTACGTGGCATCCCATGATGCTATCAGTGAGGGGCGCGTCGTGTACCCTCTAGAGCCAGACTGGACAGTTACTTTTCATTTGTTGGAAATTAAGGTTGACACATCCGGTTTAGGACCAGGGCTTTGCATGCCCGTCCCTGGCTGATTTGGCGTAAGGAAGCCTGTCTCGTCTCTTTTCCCCGATTTCTAATTTCTTGCATTAAGTCCACACCACAGTTTTAAAGTCTGTTTAGGAAACCAAACTCATTTGCATGGTGTTATTATCTCCACTGTGATTTGATCGACTCTTAATAGGAACCAGCTCTTGTATTGTTGAAAGGCAATCAGTGTCTTGTAGAAGAAATTAGAGCTCTCTTGTTTCTCTCTTGTAGAGGGAAATACTGGAAGAATCAGGGCAGTTAAGGATGCAAATAAGAAATCTGGGGGGATGAGGGGAAACTTGTGATGAGTGTGGCACTGACAGATTGAAGGACTGTCGAAGGAATGAAAACATACATGTTTTTGTAGAGGTCCTCCTTTCACCTGAACATGGTACTTTTTACAGTGATTACTACAAATTATGTAGAGCAACAAAGTAAATAGAACAGTGGATTTTCTGGTTGGTAGATTGAAGCTCAAAGATTTTCTTCAGTCATATTCTCAGGAGTTAATTTTAAAAATGGATATAAAGCTTGTGGGTATTGGAATTGGGCTTCCTTCATTCACCCTGTTTTTCTAGCATTCTAAAAATTTTTTATCTGGTTTACCTTGATTTGGTAGCATGGAGTGTGGTTTGAATGACAGGTTCAAATTTGAGACTTCTACATTGTAAACCCTTACTGAGATATGAAGCCTTGGACAGTTGTTTTTCCTTGATACAATTTATCTTGCAGGGTTAGTGTAAGGATAAATGGAGGGAGAACGAGAGCCTTTGAGTTCACTGGAGGAAAGGCAGGGTATAAAAACAATGATTAATCAAATTGTACAAGTACAATTGATTGGTATAGATATTTGCCCCACATTCTTTGAGCCAGTTATAATATAAAGAGGAGTTGAACTTGATAAAATCAAATAACTAACGTATCTTAACATCCCTTTTCACCCAGTAGACTATTGGATGCTTCTGGGAAGCCCCCAGCAGAGGATCATAGAAACAGCCCTCTTCTGATGTTTCCTCCCATTTGGTTGGCATCCCCAGAGGGTCATAGATCTTTTAGTTCTTTAAAATAGATGCTATTTTAAAGGCATCTATTAATTAAGGCAAGAGGAGAAGAAGAAGAAGACATGAGATGGTTGGAAAGTGTCATCGAAGCTACCGACATGAATTTGACCAAACTCTGGGAGGCAGTGGAAGACAGGAAGGCCTGGTGTTCTCCGGTCCATGGGGTAATGAAGAGTCGGACATGACTTAACGACTAAACAGCAACAACATTAATTCTTTTAAACTGTCATGCACCAGGACAGGACATTTAGTCTCCCAGAATTATGTTTTGTTACAGAATCCACACAGGCTGCCAGTTTCATTATTGTGCAGTCTTGTTACCTGATGAGTTGTGAATAATTACCATATACTGTTTTTTAACAAACAAAAAGTCATTGTCAGGAAAGCCCCACCCCATGAAAATCTCTTACAGTGGACCCTCTACTTATGGAATTAATCCGTATTGGAACAGTGGGTGCAGGTTGAAAGGTCTGTAGGTCGAGTCTCCATTGACCTACAATGTATTGACAACCGATTGATCCCATAACCGGCTGGTTTTGTTCCATTTTTGTACCATTTTGGTTTTTTTCTGGTCTGTAGGTCGATTCTTAGGCTGCAAGTCGAACCTAAATTTTATGGCCAGAGAAGTCTGTAACTCGAAAAGTCCGTAAGTTGAGCCGTCTGTAAGTCGAGGGTCCACTGGTACTTGTTTTTCAGGTTGATCAACATTTAAATGGCCCCATTTAAAAGAAACGAAATTTTCTTCCAATACCGTTTAGACAGTGTTACAGTGGGGTCTTGACTTAAGAATGGCTCGAGTTAAGAACATTTTGACTTAAGAACCACTCTCATAGGAAAATATTGACTTGACTTACATACTTAGATTTGAGTTAAGAACTGAAAAAAAAACCACGTGGGAGGCAGGGAAAGTGCAAAATTTGAACTTTCAGTTAACTATTGGCCAGTGAAAAGGGTGCCTGTCTGCTTCCTCACTCCTCCCAGCGTTTAGAGAGTGGATTGGGAGACAGTCTTCAGACCGCCTGGTACTGCCTGGACTGTACTTTCCCTGCCTTCCCTGAACCTTTCTTGACCTAAGAAAAAAAGAAACAAAATATCCCCCTCTAGTGGTCGAAGGCAGAATAGCAGCTTCCCATTAGTTTCTATGGACGGAAAAGAGCAGATACGGATCAAATGGTTTTCAGTGCATTCCTATGGGAAATGCAGATTTGACCTGAGAACTTTTTGACTTGAGAACCGCCTTCCAATACGGATTAAGTTCTCAAATCAAGACCCCACTGTATTAGTTTTGTCTTCCTTAGTATTTTATCTGCTTTTGTTAGTAAAATGAACTCGGCACAAGTGAATGAACTGTGTATGCATTGGCGTACCATTTGTTCACTATTAGTCAGTGGAGATTGTACTACATTGTAACTGCCATGGTTGTGGAAAGTATTGATTTGAATCTTCTGAAGAAAAGAAAAAAGATTGTATTAATAATTTTGTAAGAGTTTGTGGTTGTGAACAAAGTAAACATGCACCTCCTCAAAAATGTTTTGTTTTCTTCCAGTTTTGTCTGTAACATTTTTGTCTCAGTTCTTCTCCAGGAAGCTTGTGCTTGTTTATGGTTTTCTGCCTGCCCATTTTACCTTCACTCTGTGAAGTATAGTAAGCTAGTAGTGAGTGGTCAAGAGAAGTGTCATGTCTGAGTGGATTTTAGTTTCTCTTCCTATCTGACTGAACATACTAAGTCCAGGATAGGGAACCTGTGGCTTTTCTCATGGTGAACTGCATCTCCCATTATCCCTAGCTGTTGGTCTGGCTTTTCTCATGGTGAACTGCATCTCCCATTATCCGTAGCCATTGTGATGCTGACTGGGTCTGAGGGAAGGCCCCAGCTTTTCTTACTGGAAGGAAACAGCATCTGAAGAGCTGCAGCTTCTGTGTCCTTGCTTTGAATGCTGTGCTGTGTTGACTTCCCAGTCTTCTCTTTTCAAAATGAACAATGCAGTATTATCTTTAGGATGAGGAAGAAGTTGAAAGTGTTTGTGAATTATGTAAAAGGAGATTAATAACCCATAAAAACAAGATGTGTTGGTATAGGTGACTGGAACCCCAAAATAGGAAATAAAGCAGAACCAAATATGATCAAAATATTTTGCCAAGGAGTTAGAAATGAAACAGAAGAGCTGCTCAAGAATTATGTAAAAGGAGATTAATAACCCATGAAAACAAGATGTGCTGGTATAGGTGACTGGAACCCCAAAACAGGAAATAAAGCAGAATCAAATATGATCAAAAGATTTGGCCAGGGAGTTAAAAATAGAAAAGCTGCTCAGTCTATAGATTCATGTGTACTGTAAGTACATGTTTCAGGCCACCAACACAGTACTTCACATTTTATAACCACCATATGGCCAATATAGATATGAATTAAGCCCTGTAACTGAAGCACAAGATGGAAAACTCTGTTGTCTCTGTAAAAAAAGGTAACAAGGAGCAGACTGTGTTGCAGAGCTTGAACTGTTTATATAAAAATTTAGAATAAAAGTGAAGAACACCGAAAGATGTTTCAGGCCACCAACACAGTACTTCACATTTTATAACCACCATATGGCCAATATAGATATGAATTAAGCCCTGTAACTGAAGCACAAGATGGAAAACTCTGTTGTCTCTGTAAAAAAAGGTAACAAGGAGCAGACTGTGTTGCAGAGCTTGAACTGTTTATATAAAAATTTAGAATAAAAGTGAAGAACACCGAAGGAATCTTAGGTAAAGGTTACCCTTGACATTTAGTCAGTCGTGTCCAACTCTAGGGGGCGGTGCTCATTCCCGTTTCCAAGCTGTAGAGCCAGCGGTTGTCCGAAGACAATCTTCCGTGGTCACGTGGCCAGCACGGCTATACACGGAACACTGTTTACCTTCCCACCGAGGTGGTACCTATTTATCTACTCACATTTACATGCTTGCGAACTGCTAGGTTGGCAAGGAGCTGGGACAAAGCGACGGGAGCTGACTCCGTTGCATGGATTCAATCTTACGACTGCTGGTCTTCTGACCCTGCAGCACACAAAGGCTTCTGCGGTTTAACCCGCAGCGCCACCACGTCCCTTGGAAAGAGTCTTACCAAGATATAATTGAAATAATACAGTATTCCTTAATGCTTTAACAACCATGGTTTGAAGAAAAAAATTGCATTACTAAGTCTGGTTGACCATAATGCAGAATGACTGCGGATTGGAATTAGAAATATAATTGGGGAAGCATGTAAAAGAGATGTTTCTAGCCAAAATAAGATCTTTGGTGGATAAAACTGTTAAAATTGTTAATGAAAGATCAGAAGAAATTTGATGAGAATTCTAAATGCAGCTGTTCAGTGAGCTATACATAGGGATGGAGAGAGCTGTTATTGTAATTATTGCAAAGAAACAGAGGATAAGTAAAAAGGAGGGAGGCAATACTTTTTTTCTGTAAGATGCAGGAAATCAAATGAAAATGCAG